AATATTAGCTTTTGCTATTAGTTATAACGATTTTAAGTGAGTATCTTATTCTAAAAATGTAAAAAGGGTTGTTTATTTAATTGGCTTGTATCGTATTTTCTAAACAGTTGCATTCAAGAAATTGTCTTCAAAGAATACAACTGAGGAAGGAAGGATCTTACCCAAATTACAAAGGGAATATATAGGCGAATCCATTAAAATCAGTTACGACACCTGGTATGCAAGGGTTGAAGCGCAAATACGGACAGCTCAATTCAATCATTAAATAATTTGAATTTATGAATGATTAATCTAATTCGAATTAATTTAAAATAAGTTTTCTATGCAAACGTAGCATCTGCTTTTAATTTTAAGTATAGTAAAAAAATTTTGACATAGTTTAAATATCATTGCGATTATAAAAATCGCAAAGATTTGTTTTTGGTGAAGTTGAGCTGAAAAAACACTATTCCAACAACTGCATATGCAAATCGTCACTCTCCCTGTTTCTGTAAATCATGATAAGTATTTCATATAATTTTTTTATAGTAAGTAAGGTATGCTATTGATAACGATTATACCTGATAAAGAATAAGAATGCATATCTCTCCCAATAGAGAGACGGATATTTCGTCAAGTTTGCGTGGTTCGACTATTTTGTAAAGAATTTAAATCAAATTATTTATCTCTGACTAGTATTTTTATACTGAAAGGATAATCATCAAAATTCTTTTAGTATAATATAAGTCAAATAACTTTAGTTTTTTAAATTAATTTGTTACAGTCGCTATGAAATACAATGATTTTTATATAGCACAGTGTCACATAAAAAATAATTATCGATTTACACCAATTTTAAATTTTTTTTTAGCCCAAAATAATAAGAATGTTGGTATGTGAGCGATTCTCTCTCTTTCGCTCGCCTACCTGAGGGGCCTAAAAATAATAAATAGTCTTTTCTCGTAAATTTGACGTTCCTGGTTCCCACGAAGACCACCCGTGGTCTGGTCCGGTCAGTCCCTTTTTTCCAGAAACCCCTCCATTTTGAACAAATACCTAACGTTATTACCTTACTATACCAACTCCCTTTCTCATTTCAAGAACTAAGAAAAATCTATTCATGAAAGTTATTTTTGTAAAGCAAAACAAATAGGACTGTCACTTTAAGAAAGATAAATCTTGGACATTTCCAAAGTGGAACTTTGTGAAGGTCATTTTACCAATACATATTAGGCCATTATTTCAAAGTAAACATTTATTTTGGCACGTGATTTTTAAAATCTACAAAGAAGCAAACTGTAAGATACCAATTAGAAAATACGCACGAATAGAAAATATTTGTCTCATAACATTCATTTCTGTGCAAATTATTTTAATTAATTAATTAAGCCACTTTTTTACCAAAGTAAATATTTATTATTGACAGCCATTTTTAGAGAATTATAATACTCAGAAGCAAAATTTAAATTACCATTTTAAATGTAAACTCGAATAAAAACTATTTATATCAAGAAAATCAAAAGTTTCAAGTTGTCAGTTTTTTTGATTAACTTTTTTATAAGACCATTTTATGTCTTTCATGTCATTTTATGTTAATCTACTTTATTTTTTATCATGGAGAATACTTATTTTTGACTGCAATTTTTTTATAACTCCTAAGCAAATTATACAGCACCATTTTAAAGACGGGCATGAGTAGAAAATATTTATCTAAAAAAACTATAAGTTATATGGAGAACAATTTATTTAATTAGATTTCTTAAGTGTTCATTGTATCATTTCATATAAGGTAACTTCTTAACAGTAGCAAACACTTATTTTTGACTAGAATTTCTCGAGAAATTTATTACTCATATGCAAAAAGAAAAAAATTATACATCATTAAAAAAAAATGACATTTTTCTGTTTGCAGGAATACGATTTCAAAGAAAATTGTTCAGTTTAAAGAAAATTAATATTTCATCTTTGATTCTCTATAATAGAGGATTCTCTATAATAGTCTAATAATATTAAGGCTTATTATTATTAGACTAATTATTAGACTCAAATTTTTTTTTAAAGACTTGAAACATGTTTTATCGCTAAGTTAAAAAAAATTTTAAAAAATAAAAATTTATATTTAAAAAAATATTAATTTAAGTAAACTATATACTATACCATAAAATTTTTTTAAAAAAATTATAAACTCCATAAGAAAATACCCTAAGTTTTAAAACCTTAGGCGTTGCGTTACGGGGGCTCATGTTTTTAAAAAACTATTCGTTTATTTTAAGTGTTATGTATATATGCATTTGTAAATGTATGTATAAAATTTAAAATAGGATTGAATCTGCATATTGCATCAATTGTATTGAAGAAAAAGTAACACTGCCTCGTTGCCAGCTAGTGCCTGAATATGAAATGAGAGGAACTAGAAGTCAAATTTTAGTCTCACTTCCAACTTAGGATTCCATCGTTTTCTGAGTGAGGTTCAAAATAACACGGTTTCAAGGGATCCAAAATAATTGCTAATTTCTTCAAATCCACCATTTCAAGGGTCGGAGAGTCTTAATATCGCAATAAATTAAACAATAAAAAAGTTTAAAAAATAAATCACAAATAAATAAAACGAGATAAAATAATAAAAATTCACTTTGTAACAGATGATTAGATTTATTTTGATTTCAAAATGAACATATGAACCCTTCAGCTGGTTTAATATCTCAAACTTTTCATCAACACTTTGTAAGTTACAGTTTAAAAATCCCGTTCTTTAAAGAACAAAAGTTTCTTTTCTCTTTTCTAGACCAAAAAGAAAATATTTATGCCACGTACTTTTTCATGATGAGTTAAAATATAAACAGAGATAACGGGAAACAATTTTGAGTTTGAGTGACCAATTAGTAGAAGAAAATGAGAAAATAGAGAAAATATTATTTCTGTCGCCGGATATGATGGATATTTATATAAATAAAACAGTAAATTCGTACGCCAACCAACTTCCTCAGCTTTCTCGTAGAAAAGTTATTTCGCTTAATTTAATTGCTTTAATGATTTTATATTAAAAGCATCGTTATTATATCACAATAAATAAAACAATAAAAAAGTATTACAAATAAATAACACTAGTTAAAATATTTATTCTTTAAAAATTAACTTTGTAACAAATGATTGGACTTATTTTGATTTGGAAAAGAATATATGAACTTTCCAGTTAGTTAAGTATCTCAAAGTTTTCATCACAACTTATTGAGTTACAGTTTAAAAATCTCGTTCTTTACAGAACAAAAGTTTCTTTTCTTTTTTCTAGACCAAAAAGAAAATATTTATAATACGTATTTTCCATAATGAGTTTTTAAATATAAACAGAGATAACGGGAAACAATTTTGAGTTTGAGTAGCCAATTAGAAGAAAATGAGGAGAAAATATCATTTCTGTCGTCAGATAATATGAAAGAATAATTAATATAAATAGAACAATAAATTCTTATTTCAACCAACTTGCTAAGTTTTTTTCAGTGAAATAGCAGGTATTTGTCTGTGATGCCACAATTGGCATTATATATTTGTTTCCTATCTTTTAAAATATCTTTTATTACTGATGTACATTTTATTACCAATTGTGGCATCACATTGTCGTAATCTATTTACTTAAATGATTTTATCGTTGTAGGCTCTTTCATCACTCTTTTGAACTTACATCGTTAAAATTGTTGTTTTTTCTTCTTTTTTTTTTAATTTTTAAAATTTAATAGCCTTTAAGGTATTTGTTAACCTTTTTGAGGTCATCTTTAGAAATCTATTAAAACTTTTTGTATTCTCATTTTAGAATATAGGAAGAGAGGGAATCAGATGGTAACAGCGTGATCCCCTCTTCTTGCTCGTAAACAAATGAAATTCAGAAGATAATAATAGTAAATAATAAATATGAGGAGAGCTTTCAGCAATGTAATAATAAGCCACATTTTCACATTATTAAAGATAGCATTTTTTTTGGGGGGGGGGGAATATCACGATAACCCTATGAGTATGGGAAATAAGATTTTTCTATGGAAATTATGGAAACATATGACGTAATTTTCTAGAAACAATTTCATGCAAAAAAATGTCCGCTCATATGCATTGTTGAAGTTCTCTAACAATTTCATTTTATTTTGCTAAAACGTCAATTAATATATATTCTATAAAATCTTCAATATTATACACCTTTTAAATTATATTCGTTCATTAACTCTCTCCAACCCTTCGATGAGATTTTGATTAATTATTATATTCAAAAGAGAAAGTTTTAAATTGATCAGAAAGAATTTTTTCTAGTAAGTTTTTTTATTTTTTATATCTTTAAATATCACTTAAAAAAATTGGCACAGACTGTTATATTACTTCCGTAACACTTGATCAACTAAATTTATCTTTGAAAAGCTAAATTTAAAGCCTATCTTTGAAAGCTAAATTTAATACATGCTTTTAAAAGCTAAATTTAATGCCCGTCTTTGAAAACTAAATTTTGTGTATATTTCTAAAAGCTTATTTTAATCTATGTCATAAATTTAACGCTTTTTTTTTTCATTATTGTTATAAGTGCACAGCAAATATTTACTGAGCATAGAAGATTATTTTATAAGTAGAAGATTTTTATATTAGCCAATAATTTACAACTGTGATACTGCAGAATTATTTCTATAAAATAAAAACAGTATGGATATCATTGAGCATTACATTATGAACTCAAACTCAAGCGGTGAAATTAATACTTTAAAAAACCTTATTTTACTAAGTATTTATAAAACTATAGACCATAGAATAGTTTTTATATAAATTGTGCAGCTCAATAAATTAAAAGACTTTCCTTCTTCTAAGTATTATGCTGAATTTATCATCAGATCAACTCATATCCTTAAATAAAATTATAAGATGTACCAGCTCTTGTTCGACACCACATTAAAATAAAAAATATTATTTTTTCCAATAGTATGGGGAAAAGTGAATACAAATCGTTCCCACCCTTCCTTGAGTAACAAAATTATCGATAAAACACTCACCGAGATAGGACTCCTGATATTCATAGCAAAGAACTTCAGATAACACTAAAACCACTGATAATATCCGTAAGCATCCACTACAACCACCACCTCCACGCCGATACATTCTCCACCGTTGCAAAATCCTCAACCGCACTACAGATCTGTTCTACACACGATCTGAGCGATGAATGAAACTGAATCACAAGGAAAATGGGCAGACGACTTTTGTGGCGCGCGATTCAATCTTTCGCGGGCGGAGCTTCTTTCTTCTTTGTGATCGACTGATCTCTGATTTTCCGTCGACAAGGAATATCCCTGTTGTCCAAGGGGTCGTCCTCGTGCTGTGAAAAAGTTTGTTGGGATTAGAGGGTGGGGTAAGACAGAAAACATAAAGCATATGGCTTTTAGAATGGGAGAAATATGTTTATAGTTTATGTGTATAAATATCGTCTGCGTGGGAAATAATGACATGAAATGAAATGACTCAGGAGAGAAGCAAAATTATTCAAAAGATCGTCTGATAATCTTTAGAATAATTATTTTTCTGCTTATGTCTGTTAAATTAGTTATGATCGAAACATATTTTCACCTGTCTGAAGATTTTTTTTCCCTATTGGCTTTATAATTTAAACAAACTGAAAAAGAAGCATACAAAAATAAAAAGTAATGGTATCTAAAAATTATATACATGAAAAAAATAAATAAATAAATGAAATAAAAAAAACTTTGAAAATTTTTTGCTTGTTTTATGTAATTTCAGCGGAAATAAAATGAGAGAGAAAAAACAATTATTTGATTAAAGATTTTTCTTCAATTAAGTCTAATAGTATTTCTTTGTTTTAGTTAAAGAAAATAAAATAAGTTAAATGTTGACTAAATTGATATCAAAATATTACCTTTTTTTTTAACTGTTTATGATTAATTCGTTTATATTTTATAATTATTTGTTATTTCAGATATAAAACTTTGTTCCTGACTGATTCTTCAAAAATATTGTTTCGCAATTTTTTTTTCCCTGAAAAAAAAAGTATTTATCAAAAATGAGTTCTTAGATCACTATTGAGAAATGTGCCAATTTTTAATGCACTGATTTGCTGTATCATGAGATAATTATATTGCATATTTATAAGTATATTTTATAAGTGCTTAGACATAACTTGCTAAAAACAAATTTAATTTGTCGAAATTTTGATTGTTTTTATTTTTTATTTGAAATTTTTTAAAAAAAGCATTTGCATGATAGAATTCTTGATAATACTATCTGTACTTAATATAATAGTTCAAATATTTCCTTCATAATACTGATCATTTCCTAAAACACGAAGAGTATGTATTTTTTTCCGTGAATTAGAGGCTAAAATCTCTTTGTCCTTTTCTTAATTGCTACGTATTGAAACGAATAACTCTCTCTTCTTAAATACAATAGCAATCCAGTTTCAATGAAAAATTTTCTACGATGTAAAAGTTAATTTTGTAAGGTAAAAACCTATCAAAAATAGCAAATTTGGATAAATAAGAGATATAATATACAAATGTTCACATTCTTAATTCATTATTTTATTTAAATTTTATCGAAACATAAAATAGCTTTTAAAAAAACTGAGATTGTATGAAAAAATAGATTAGTATTTCATAACTTATATGAATTTCTTCAAAAAAGAAAAAATGACTCCCGTGAGGGAAAGTAAACGCTATGCCTTGGTTGTAATGTAATAAGTAATGGGTAAAAATTTTCTCGAAACTAAAAACAAAATGACTTAACTGACAAATGGAAACTCGATATAAATTTTCTAAGCTTTTCTCAAATACTGTAAGAAATTTACATAATTGTTGTGAAATTGTTTAAATGCTTTCTAACCAAATAAAATTATTAATTAATAATGCTATTGGAAGTAGAAACGTTGAATTATTCTAAGAGTCAAAAAGTTTTCTTTCCCAATATTTCTCTTTGCCTTTATGTAGTAATGAAGTGTCAACAGAGTTTTACAGTGTTTTCGGGTTTATGTTTCTTTTTATTTCTTTTATTCCCTCAGAGGAAAAATCAGGTAAGAGTAGTAAGTAAAAAATAATTAATTAAAATAAATTAATTAAAATAAATTAATTAAAATAAATTAATTAAAATAAATTAATTAGAATAAATAAATTAATTAAAATAAATTAATTAAAATAAATTGATTAAAATAAATTAATTAGAATAAATAAATTAAAATAAATTAATTAATTGAAATAATAGAAAAAAGAAATATAAAAGGTTTTAATCTTAAATTCTTGATTTCCTAATTACATTTTAATTCAAAAAGAAAAAAAACTAGAGATTGGAGCATTATTTATTTTTATTTCCTTAAATCTCCTACTTGCATAAGTAATTAAAATTAAAAACTAATATTTTTACTATAACTATAAGCATTAGGATTTGGCTCGAATATCACAAAAACTCTTCCCCTCGATTGCCCCAATATCCATTAGTTCATATGTTTATTTATTTTTAAAACGACTATTGCACTTTACAATTAATTAACAGTTCATTGAATTTTGAGGCTTAAATCCAGCCCCTCCCTTCTTTTTAGAGTAAGAAATACGAATCCATCGGGAAAAAAAGACGCGTTTATTCACAAAAATAAGTTAGTGACTAATTTCATATTACTAATCATACTTAAGAAATTTAGAACAGTTCATGCAAAAAAAAAAAAAAAAGAGAGAGAGAGAGAGACAGAGAGAAGGAAAGTCCTGTAAATGTGCTATCTGCTGACTGAAATTAGTTTTTATTTTATTTATTAATTTATTTATTAATTTATTTTCAACTTAAATAAGCAAAACAAAATAACAATGAATTGATAACAATGAATAGTTTCTGTGTACAATCATTTACTTATTATGTTCCGAATTCAGTGACAATAGATAAATAAAACTGAAGTCAATCTTAAGTTCGATTAGCATATTAATAATAGCTCTCACAGTCAAAATAACGGAGAACAATTCTTCCAACTTCAAAAACAAACATCAATCAACGAAGAACTCAATGTGTAGTGTAAAACTTAGAACCTGCAGTCATTTCAAGTCTATATGTTCTCTAATACCGCACTATAATTATGCCGTGATTTGCGTGAAAATCGAGAAAAAATCACAACTCACCGTTTTGTATTCCTTTCATCGTTTTGACACATCCAATACTTAAGCGACCCCTAGGGCACACCTGCTTCACCAAACAAAAATACTTTCTCTTCTTATATACCGTTCCTGGAAAACTACTCTTTTTCAATATTGAGGGTGTGCGTCCCTGAAAAGTCCCTTTTAGTAGATCATAAAAGGGGCTGTGATAATATTATATAACAGTAATTATCGGTCTTTGTTATCCGAACATTCTTTCGAAATATCTGAAAAATTAACGTTTGATAGTATTTTTTTTTTGCCAATAATTTACAACTATGTACAAAATTTACTACTATGTACAAAAGCATTAGAAATTCCAGAACAGTTTAAAAAATTGACTAAAATTTGAGTAATTAAAGTCAATTAAAATTAAATTTCAAACGTCATTAATAAAATATTATGTCAAAGGAAAGAAACAGTTTTTTAAACAACACTTATGCTGATAATTCGCCCATTGTTGCTATTTCGCTGATATTAAATCATTAATTTATAACATAACATTGAAAGGAACCCAGGGAAATTTTCAGAGGGCAGATAAAATATTGATCAATAATTTTTAAAAATCGTGAATATTTATATATTCTGCCTGAATAATAAATTTACATGTGGGCATCAGATAACTTCACTAACAATTAAGATTCATAATTTTATCACATTCTATCTTGATTTATTTAATATGTTATTATGTTAATTATCACATGTTATGAGTGCAAAAATAGAAGGAGTACGTTTCGGTGTTTTATTATTTTTTATTAATTTTTTTTACATAATTTGTTTTTTTGTTTTATCTTCCAATAAATATAAAAATAATGTTAGTTATTTATAGCATTGAATTGAAAAAAAAAAACTTTTGTACCCATTTCAAAAATCATAATTTGAACAATATGATACGTAATAAGCAGTATTTAGTTACTCAAAAAAATATGAATAAATAAATAAATACAGTTGCAATAAACCACATAAGTTGTTATTTATAGGATTCCCAGCTGGGTGCCATTGCACCATCTTGATCTCTCTTGCAGGAGCCATGATTATTATTAGTACTGTGTGTATTTTAATTTTGTACCATTCCACTTAAGAAATTGAACACTTACATAGCTCATACTTTTAACTCACTTAAACAGTAAAATTTCCTATTAAAACTGCCGGAACTGAAAAACCTTTTTAAATTATTTTTTAAAAAAAATCATACTTTGTTCATTTAGAAATTCGAAAATTTCAACACAAGAATAGCCACAGAAAATAAAAATAATAGAGCTGTAGAACATAAATCGTTACTAAGCTCATATTTTGAACTCTACTTAAATAGTAAAATTTCCTATTAAAACTGTCGGAACTGAAAAACCTTTTTAAATTCCTTTAGAAAAAAATCATATTTTGTTCATTTAGAAATTCTAAAATTTCAACGCAAGAATAGCCAGAGAAAATAAAAATGATAGAGCAGTAGAACATAAATGATTACTAAGCTCATATTTTGAACTCAATTTAAACAATAAAATTTCCTATTTAAATATTTCTTATACATTGATTTTTACTCTTTGTCATATCTTTCTGAGTGACGAAAAAATAGAACCTCGAAACTCTCAGAAAGCAAATGACAGGAGAACTTTCTATGTCCCTTAGTTTCCCAGTAACACCATGAAGTGATTCACTTATTATTTCAATGAAATATGAAGTAACAATTTTCACATCGAGAGTTGCGAAACTACCTTATTTTCAGTCGATTACTTTATATTAAACTTACAACGTGTCAAAACTGAAAATTCCTTTTAAATTCCTTAAAAAAAAAAAAAAAAAAAAAATATATTTTGTTCGTTTAGAAATTCGAAAATTTCTAGACAAGAATAGCCGTAGAAGATAAAAATGATAGAGAAAAAAGATATATCATAAAACAACAGAGGAACAATCCGCCTGTTCTCTGTCATCGCATCCCTGTTTACATCATCAACCCCGCTGACTACAGACGAGTCTTTCAGAATTATTACTTTATGTATTTATGTTATCCTTGTTACCCACCGGGAGGTTACATATACACGTATGCCACACACTCCTAAGTCGTATATCAAGTACCTCTCTCAATATAGCCTTACATACATATATATTGCACTTACACGAGATGGTGGTATTGTGTACCCCTACTCTCAAAGTTTTATTTATTTAATTTTTAGTTAGAATAAAATGTGATGAAAAGACTTTATAATATGTGTGTGTCTTTATAATATGTGTGGATTCTGAAGGTGACAGGTGTTGTTGGTGGAGGTGGATATTAGTCTCTCTCAAAAAATAGGTAGGATGGGGGGAAAAAAAGGTCCGAAAAAGAAGGTACCCGTAAAAAGGGTCCCTTAAAGAAAAGTTAGCTAAAAAAGGTCCCTGGAAAAAAAAAGTACCGATAAAAAAGGTACCTCAACTGAGAAAATGTGTTGGGAAATTTCATGCAATCCCTGAATCACGAATGCTTCTTTCGCGATTTCCAGAGTTATGATTCAGATTTGCTAATTAAGGTGAAGAGGAGCTTTCTTGTTTTTTTTAAGAGGGATTCGTTTATTTTATGAATTTTTAAGAAACATTTATTTAAATATCCCTTTATTATTATTAAAATAACGTAAATTATTTTAATAATAATAATATATTTTGTTAAGATAACTTTTTTAGTTTATGCATTAAAATTTTTTTTATCATTTTAAATATTCATTTAAAAAAAAAAGGAGAAACTTTTAATTCCTTGTCCAAACACTATTTTACTAAGTTGTTCAAATACAATATTGAATAATGCATAAAAGAAATTTCACCTATCTTTTTTTTTTTTTTTGTGGGACTCCTAGAAAGAATGTAATTATTGCCTTAGAAATTAAAGCTGGAAGCCATGCCTAAGTTCCCATCTACCGAATTAAAAGGTGAAACAAATCCTTGTTATATTCTGTAATCAAAAATTGTTCAAACAAACCGACATTCTTTTTAAGTAATAATGAAAAATATTCGTCTTATTATTATCGACTGTGGCGTACATAGAATAGGATGCGCGTCCTAGTTTAAGAATGCGCACCATCCAGACTTAACACAAATTTTTTAAGATTATAATCTGAGACAAGAATATTATGAAGAGACATATTCGGGTACATATCGTTCATTACATTAATTTATATATTTTAACTTAAATTATTTAAAAATTAATTATTCGGGAAATAATAATTGTGATTGAAAGGCGAAATTTATAACAAGTTCTAATTTTAGTACTTATAAAACTGTATGCCTTTACCGACTTACGAGCAAATGAAAATTATTTTAAATACGAGAAACATCTCACTATCTTTTAGTAATTATATTCAAAGTTTAGTTAAGAATCAATTTTATTTGTAAAGTGATATAAAAATATCTTACGTGTGCCTAAGTATTTAGACATGTTGACGGCAAAAGTGATATTTTTAATGTAAACATCTATGTTTCAGACACAATTCTTTTTATCAGCCAACTTGGTAATATATTTGCATAAAATTAAATTCTTCCAAATATTATAATAAATTTAATAATGAAGAATACAATAATGATTTTAATATGCTTATGCTTAAAACGGATGATTGAAGATACCATCTGTTGTAATTATTAACAAAATAAAAGTGACAGCTATTTTAAATTAGTATTTAATATGAACTTAGAAATAAAAATTTAAAAAAAAACTCAGATATACAAGAATGGATGATAGAAGACTTATGTTGTTTAGTGATGTAACAACAGTTGTGCTGAAACTCGGAGATCTCGCACAGGTGTGATTTCTATCTACGGTGGAGGTGCAATTACTTGGAGAAGTTAATTGCAGGAGGCTGTATCTAATTCAACGACAGAAGCAGAGTTCATGGCAGCAGCTGATGCGACAAAAGACCTGATATCGTTAAAGCGCCTGTTTGCCGAGATAGCCAACGACATCTTATTACCAATCCTCCAGATTGATAATCAGAGTACCATCAAGTACATCAAAAATCCGATGTTTCACGCTCGCACTAAGCACATACGTCTTGAAATATTCCTCTGAATTTGTGATGTGTTCCGTAGCTCCATCGTCTTTGAGCTACATATTTCGGCTACTTTCATCCTGGCAAATAAATGCACTACAATAAGTATTTGTAAGAAAAGTTTTGGTTTTATTACCTGATGTCTTTGGCTTATCTGTAAAATCAGGACAAAATTTTCCCATGTGCCCTGGCTTATTGCACCTAAAACAGTTGCCACGAAAGCTTTTCACACTGTCATTAGCCCTACAAAGTTTACTCATACCCGGTAGTTGTTGAAGGTTGATATTTTCTCGCCATCGGAGACCTTGTCCCCTTCCTCCATTTCTTCTTTCCGTTGGCACCGTGCCTTGCACCGCTTGTTACAAAAGTCGTTGTAACGTTTTCTTTTATGCATAAATTTTGCCTTTGAAGGAGCATCTTTATTTGTTCCATCAGTCTCTCGGGTGACTTTTCAGCTTTTGGTAACGAGTCTCATTGTGACTTGTCACTCTCTGTATTCATCATCCGGAAGAATCGATAATATACGCGGCATGAGCAGATTCTGAGGCAACTTCCCTTCGCCGATCGCCTCTTGTTCCCGTAGCGTACGCAAACGTGCGAGAGGTTTCATTACGTTATCTTTTTTGAAAGTGAAAAATTGTTGAAGGAGAGTATCCAATTTTACACTCGACACTCTGTCGAAGTAAGTATTTATAAGTTATTTTAGTAACACAAATTTAATAAAAAAATAAAGAAATACATAAAGTAAAAATCACGTACTTAACGGCATAACCTATGCACACCTCTGTTAATATAAAAAGAAAGAAAAACAGTTCTTGTTCGTTTTACCCTCTTGGGGGAAAGTCTAATCGTCTTCCCTGTCACAAGTTTGATTTTTCCCTTTTTATTACTCCGAATCTCATCTATTTCCCTATTTCTCGAAAAAGTGATGACTTTTTTTTCACATCACGTAACACAAAAGTGTATTTTAAAGTAAATTAACTATGTTTTTAAACGAAAGTTGAAAAAAAAATTATAAATATTTTATTGAGAAACATAAATGCAAATTAAATATTTTAATTAAAGAAATTGAATGGGGTTAAAAATGATTTAAAACAAAACAGAGTAAATTATAGTTCAAAATAAAATACATCATTTAGTTGGGATCTGGTTCAGTATATTTTTAATTTATGGACATTCATATTTAGTGATTTATCAAGAGATTCTATGATTATTAAATCTTGAAACAGTTTTTTATGCACTTCATTAGGCTACAAAATATTAGTAACAAAGTTTAAAAACAGTAAACAGTTTGAAAACTCACATTTGACTTTCGCGTTTTGTAATAATATTGCATTAAAAGTGTGGGGATAATCAGGGTAAAGTGTAGTGGGATAATTGACAAATTTAGTACTAAAGCTTTTAACAACTATGGCCTATCCCAAATTATAACCAACACATGCAAATAAGGTAAGATAAAAATATGTCTGGGAATAATGATCACAAGGGAGAAAATTTACTCAAGCAATTTTAATGATGATTAACTTAATTATCAAGATTTACTCACTAAAATAAATCTGACCATGTGGTATAATAAATTTCAAAGGGTACAATTTCTATGTTAAATTGTTAAACTATGTTAAATTTCTTTGAATAAAGTCTTAACACAGTACAACCAAAACAGAACACTAGTAGGCATTCAAAAGGGAATTAAGCTTTAAACCTTTTCCACTTACTAATTGGTAAAATTTGTATTTTTTATAAGTTAAAAATTTCTAGTTAGTGGAAGAAGTTTACAACCGTGTAAACAACATGTTCGATTTCTTCAATTTAAGTGTATCATAATTCAAAGAACATTTGTTAAAACCAATTTTGATAAACAAAATTTTTGGTGGTTGCAGTGGAAATAAGCTCTATTTCTTATAGAGGTAATATAGCAATATAAGAACTTTCAAAATACTCTATTTTAAAATCTTTATTATTAGTATAAAATATACAATAAATGGTACAAATTATTTGATAAATTTTATGGTAATTTATACAAAATTTTGACTAAAATACATATATTTAGCCAAAAAATAATTGTCTATAAATGAAGTGAAAAAATTCTGTTAATATTTCATATCCAGTCTTCAGGAGAACTTGGAATGAATGCAAGAGGTAATTCAACAAGCTCGTTTTCTTCAGGCACAGGTAGTGGTAATGGAGAATATAAAGAATATAAATCAGTTTCATCTAGAAGGGGGGGGGGAATTAGCTAATACAATACTGTTTAAAAATAGAAATACAACTATTTTATTTCGCATATTAAATTTCTACATTTCTTATTAATAAAAAAGTAATACTTTTTCTTATCAACAGACTTGCACAAAAAAGGTAACATTCTGTCCAGGTTAAGTTTAATATTACAAGCCAGGGAAGTTAAGATTTTCTTCTAGGTCACCCGTAAAAACTTTTTACAGAATATTTAGTGGCTTGTTCCGCAAATTGAATATTGATGACTTTTTTAATGAAATTAAGTGATTAGCATTTCAGAGAAACTAATTCTTTTTCCAAAGAGGAAAAAAAAAAAAAAAAGATTATTAGGGTAAAAGTATGAAAATCTGGCAAATTTTCATGCTTTAAATTAGCACAATTTTAACCAGAATTTAAAAATTCTCAGATATTTGACAAATGAGGAATGTGCTCGACAGTTTGTAATGCTTTCTTTTCTGGCGCCAGGATTTCACACCGTAATTTATAGATGAATTGAAGATTTTTTTTTAGGGACTTTTCAAAGGTATTATGCAATTTTTAAAAAATTAGTACCAAAGTAAAATTTTTAAAATCTATATTCGATAGATAATTAAAACAATTCAAATAGATAACAACTGAAAAGCATTTTTTTTTTTTTAAAGTTTAAACTTATAGTAATTGCACAATTTGTTATCAATGTTTCAAGATTCGTAAGTACAGCAATTGAAATATATTGTGCACAAACCTTTTGCATTAATTTCAAATATGACAAAAAGTTAGAAGATTTTACTGGAACTTTTGAAAAAGCATTTAAGTAGTCTGAATTTTTATGAAAAATGTATTTAGAGGCTTACTTGAAATAAGTTTACTATATCACACATATCAATTTAATAGTTAAAAAAGCTGATTATACTAAATTTAAAATTGTGGACATTACCTAAGAAGCACTTGGAATATCACAACTCTTCAATAAAAACAGTTTTTTTTTTTTAATTTTTCTTTTTGATAAAACTAGTATACTAATTACAAACTACTTAAATTTTAATACAAAACTAATCTTAAAAGACAAAATCAGATACAAGAAAGTAAATAATGAAAAATACCAATTAAGTTTCAATTCCCTTGTTTCACTTAATTTTATAACTTTATTTTAGGGCAAAATTTGTAAAAGATATTTAAAATTTTTACTAAAAAGTTAAAAAATAGATCCAAGTAAAATTAAATAAAAATTTAAAGATGATAAAAGCATTTAGTTAAATTATACCAATTTCTAATCAATAGTAGGCAAATTTAAATAATTAGAACATAAACTTATTTCTTTAGAGCTGAGGAAGAAAACTGATTTTCGTGTAATTTGCAAAGTATTTAACACATTTCATGATGTTTTAAGACAAATTTTCAATAATTTCCTCTGCTAAGCATCAAGTGTTTCAGAAAGCAAATGTATGAAAGGTGCATAAGTGGATGCTTCAAATTTAGGAGTACAAAAACAGACTTGCACATTGAAAAATATATTTGATTTTTAAAAATGAATATGATTGATCTGATATCCCTTACTTCTTCTATTTTTTTAATTTAAATGTCTGTTCGAATTAATTATAAAAGTGTACATATTGTTGGTTAAGGTTTTCTTTTTTTAAAAACCAGCATACTTTAACTTAATGTTCTCCAAACAAAACATCAGCTCATTAAACATTTTCCAATTTAGTTTAATGTTCCAATGTTCTCAGATAGTGAAGTGCAGATATGCAATAGTTCATGAGCAGCAACATATAGCTACATACAAATTTGAAGATTACATGATTAAAATAAGAGTATAGGTAACATTTGATTACCTGCATGCAAGTAAATTCATTATTTTATTTTATTTAATGTTTTTGGAGATAGACATTTTGTTTTATAATAAAAAGAAATAAATAAAAAAAATGGAATAAATAATAATAAAATTTCATGAATTTACTAGTGCTTGTCTAGCCGATAAAAACCTCAAAAAAATTATTTAAATTCTTTTTTAATTTTACTTAAAATTATTTTAAGTTATGAAGATTACAACATCTTTAAAATAAAAGTAGGCATGTTTCGATTAGCTGTGCCCAACTAAAGTAAATATTTTATTTTAATATTTTGTGTTATGTAATACAGGGTAGGGTGCGTAGCCAAATTATTCAACAAGAAATAAGCTCCTTTTAAGCACTTTTCAAAAATATCATAATTAGGCAGGTTTGGAAAGTGTTTGAGAATTTACGGTTTTATCTCGTTTTAACCGTCGTGACAAAAAAAAACTTCTGTCATTGTTTTTGACAATTGTCAAAAATCGCGAAATTTTGAATCATGTAAAACGAATGGCATTTTCATACGCTATGGACTGACAATAAGCCAAAATAGATTTGGGTTGAATGAATTGTGAAAACGTTTATTCGAACAATGTGAACTGTCTTTTTGCATAATTCGTAGCAAAACTTAACATGAAGAAAAAATCTCATTTTCAAAAAGGGAAAAATTAAACACTTTTTAAAAACACATAATGGAAAAAAGCACCTTTAAGGGCTTTTAAAAGACGAAAATAAGCACCCTGCAATATAAATAAATAAATTGTGAAGATTATTTGCAACTACCTAATCAAAAGTTATCTAAAGAATTTATATCAAATTAATTAAGAATCATTTTTTATCTAAGTTAAAAATTACCATCGTCATCAAAAGTAAAGTTTAGTATGCTTTTCTCAGTCTCATCATCACTTCTTCCTACATAGAATGAATCAAGTTCATCTTCAGATAAACTTAAATTTTCTGGTATAATATCGTCCTCATACACATCTAAATACAATGTAAGTTATCAATAAACAGTCTAAAGAAATATAATGAGCACAGACAAGTAAGGAAAACTAAGTGTTTATCATTCATGTTCCATTTTAATACACAACTTTTTTCTTTATCAATTACAAAGTTGAAATAAAAGTAATTTATCATTTTTCACTCGAAAAAAAAAAGATTTCAGCAAACTGTTTCCAGCAGGTTCAAATTTTTTTATTATTAATATGTATATTATTTTAAAGAAATTAGTTGATTGAGAAAAAGAGTCATTGGAAATAATAGATCTAAGATGAAATACATTTTTCAATTTAAGATGTTTGAACTAAAATTCAACAAGGCAATTGAGTAAAACAGATACTTTCCTTATAAGATAAATGAAATAATTTCAGAAAATATATTAAGGAGAAAACTATAAATATACAATGGCTTTGAACAAATTAAAGTTGTGTATAACATACCTGTTAGTCCCTCATAAATACAATCCCTCATACTTTCAATTTCAGGCCACTCTTCTAGATCTTTAGATTTATTAGTATCCTAAAGAAAAAAACAATATTGTAGTAAAAATTCATAGCAATACTTTGGCAGACACCTGGCGTAACCTAAAATAAAGGGAAAAAAATGATAATACTGAAATGGCATGAAGATCCTAATTTGTCTGTCCGTTTTGGAATATAAATGATTAAGCATTAAGATACTGAAAACTCTTAAAAAATACTGAGTACAGTATAAATGCTTCAAAAAAAAATTGTTTAGGAACCAGATAGACATATTTGAGGAATTAATTTATATATTTATGATGTGGTTGCTTTCATCTCATAAATATATCAACCTACTCTTGTTAATTCTCCAATTTCTTCTAATTTATAAAAGAAAAAAAAAATCTTACAACAATTCTTTGAGGACCATACAAGAAAAATAACAATATGCTTGTTTTGAGTATATTTTATAAAAATATATATTATTTTGGAGGATAAAAAAGCATCCATCTGAGTGTTAATGTTTGTTGAAAGCACTCGTACAATAATATAATAAATTTTTAACATATTTAAATTAGTTAATGTGATTTGGTTTTTAATTGATTATAATATCAGCAATTGAAATGAATAAAATAAAAGTAAATATGAATGTACAGTCCGCAATAAAAAAAAAAAAACGAAGCACCCTGATTAACTTTTGTTTTAATGGTTAGATTTTCATGAACTAAGTGTCAATCTTAATGGTTCCTGGGGGTGACTTCAAATATGCTAATTAATTAGTGCTAACTATTAATTAAGTTACGAAATCAGACACAAAAACGTACTTTCTCTGAATAAACAAATATGGTTTTTTTTTAACATTTGGATTCTTAACCTTCAAAATATAGAGGGTAGCCGCAATCTGGGAAATAGTGTCACCATAGTTTGGTCAAGAGAAAGATTCAAAGTTCGTACCCCTTAATGTTAATTTCACGTTTTTAATCATATTTTTAAAACTAATAAAGCAATTCAAAGAAAATTGCATCCACACATAAAACTCATTTACCCAAAGATAATTTCATGAAAAAAATATTTTTTAATAATAATATAATTAATTATTTTTTATTATTTAATTAAATTGAGGATGAAAAAATTTTGAATTATAAGGTATGCATTTTTTTATACCATATTAATCTACATATTTCTCAATTGAAAAATCTAAAGTTTCAACTGTTTTTATTTATTAGAAGTTGAGAAAAATTAAAATTATTTTTAAAAAAATAATTTGGCAACAATAAAGAAATAATTAAATGGGGCGATTAATATTAAAATTTAATAAACTTGTGAGGAACTCGACAGCGCGTGTAGCGTAAAATTTCATTTATATTTTTTCCGCTAATAACGTTTGCTAATCTTTTTATTTATGTTTCTTTCAAACTATAAAATATGATGTTTCTTTTTCAGTTGTTTAATAATTTATTTGCAATTTAGTAAAGAAATTCGAATAAAACATTTTGAATAAAAAACACTTTATTCAACGAATATCTAGTTTTATAAAAGCGTGCTTCTGATGGAATATGATTATACACCAGATTGTGCTTATTTAATGTTATTATTTTTTATTTTGTTTTTCAATAACTGATAGAATTTCAATAATATATTTATCAATTTCTTGAATATATATTTTATAAATATTAATAAAAATACGTAGTCAGCATTTTTAATGATCTTAAAACTTCTTTACATCTTATATATCACCTTAATCTTAAAATAAATTTGTAAATTACTTGTCTGCGCTTATTTCTCAGAATTATTTTTCTAACTTTTTAATTAAATTTTAACACAAAATCTTACTTTTTATGCTACCATATATATTATTTTTCCATTAATATACTAATCAATTGCTTTAGCAGTACATTAATTTATGTTTTCCTTTAAAATAAAATTACTTTTTACGTTATTGTTAAATGTTTTATTGAAAGAAAAGTTAGAATTATTGCCAGCTAGCTAAGAATTAAATCTTGTTAAGAAATTAAAAATATTCTACTTATCAATATCATTCGATTCAGAACACCTGACTATTTACTAATCATACTATTGTTTTCGAAAAATGAAGATAAATTATTAATTTTCCTTTTTTTTATTGTTTATTATTTATTTGAGTAATGAAAAGTAAATGCGTATGTGAGCACAGCAAAAACATACAACAGATTGTTTTTTTTTTTTTTAATGAACAAAAAACTATGGAGATAAAATTTTATTTTGACGTTCAAAGTAATTCCTGCCCGCTAACTTAAAGTTACCCTTTTCTTTTAAAAAGTTGAAAATATCTGCTTAAAAAGTTGTTTATATTATTTCTCAACTTTCGCACAGTTCAAAAAAATATTGCTATATCAGGAAAATGAAATGTTTGATATGCCTTGTTTCGTTAAACGACTACTAAAATAAAAAATTGTAAAAAGATTTGAAAAACATGCTATTTTTAGAATCATCATCTTAAAAATTGTTCTTTTTCTAACATTAGAATTTTTCTACTTAAATAACCTATAAAAATAGTTTTAATACACGGTTTAAAGAAATAATGAATTCAAATTTGGATCTAATATTTCATAAAAAGGAAACAAGAATATTAATAATTCATTGACAATTGTTTCATTGCACCGAAGCAGTCAATTCTTTTCGAAACAATTGACCTTGCAACTATTTAACTGTGACTCTTTGAAATAGGGGTCATTTCATGTATGTCATTCGACTTTAAAATTTCAAATATAAAATGCAAAAATTACAAGAATGAAGGCGTAAGCTGGCTTTAATTAATAATAAAAAACTGACAAAATCGTCGGCAAAAGAAGTTCTCATGAAAAGAATGTCAGAGTTAAAAATTGTAACAAGTGTTACTCTTGTTTAATTTGGGGTATTATAAACCTAAATTTTCTTTTAATTTTTTAAATTATTGTTTTAATAAACTAATGAAATGAATATGAAAATAATATCCATTCGTTTTGCTTGAAACCAAGTTTACTTAGTATCATTCAGAAATCCTTGAGCTCAGGTGTAGGGTAGTAGGATATTTCATGCATGATCAGTAGTTTCAAGAGTGAAGTCTTATATTAGAAGGCAGCTAACTTCTTTAAAAATTCTAATTCGGAAAAATATTTGTTATTTTACAAATGTTATAAAGCATGTGTATTTTTTAAATGGTTATTCATGTAATTTTCACATTGGCCATTAGTTTTCCGGTGAAGAAGTAAAAACGAAGACTCTAGTAAGCAGCCAAAAACTAAATCATTATGAATTATTTATCTTTTAAATTTTTTTTTTTTTTGAATTCTGTAATCTTGCTATTTAAACTATATGATCCGCTGTAATTTGTTTTTGTTTGAGTCAAAATATTGGCATTTTTTATATTTTTTACAATTTACATACATCAACATACTTCAAAAAACTAACATTTTTAAAAATTTGAACTTATTTTTTCAAAGAGCGAATCTCTAACAATACTTCGGCGAATCATAAAAAAAAAATAATTTAGCACAATTTCTGCATTAGTTTATCCTCTAAATACTCCCCCCCCCCTCAATTTAAAATTCGATGATAAAATTGATTAGTTTTTGTAAAAAGAAACTGCTACAAAGTAACTGAAATAAAAGAACTGATAGGAAAGAATGCATAAAAGTTTGCTATACTACACTAAATAAATTATTTATATTAAATAATCAAAATATAAATTTACAAAATATTTACTTGCTTTATATAATTTTTACATTTAAAAATGAGAAACTTTATGGCATTCAGCTAATTTATGCTTTACAATATTTGCAATGTTCAAAATGCTTAAAAGGTATCCACTTAAATCCTATAGGAAGGAATTCATACATTTTGATTCTATTTATAGTTTTCTATTAATTAAGCCACATATTATTTAACCAAACCGACCAGGTGGCCAAGTAGTTAGCATGCCTGACTGCGGAGCTGATGGTTGCGGGTTTGAATCCCGCTCAGGGTATGGATGTTTCTTTCTCTCGGTGTTCTATGTCCTTTCTCCTTTGTGTGAGTGTGACTCGCCCCATAAACGGGTTTGTGGTTGTGTGACGTGGGCAACACTGCTTCGACACAGATGCCCACTGGGTAACGAGATGAGAGTAGCAGTTCTGGCACTCCTGGCCAATGGGACAATACATCCCTAGTGCCTGCCATTAAAAAATTTTTTTTTTTTATTATTTAACCAAAGAATGTCACTGACTTATTGATCAAAAAGTTAAACTATTAATTTAACTCAGAAAATTAAAAAGTACCAATAAAAGGATTTGTTTGCATAAATGCTAGAAATAGTTAAGGGTAGAGGGGTCTCATTATTTTCTCTAATTCAACAATTAAAACTAGTAAAATTCTAATTAAAATGAGCAAATCTCTAAATAATCTACAACTGCAAAATACAGCGATAAACTCTAAGTAAAATTGACTCCAACTTCTGATGAATTTTAATTTTTTCAAAGATTTGAAACTCTTTTTTTTTTTTTTTTCTTTATTTGACCTTTCATTTAGAAAGTTAAGAATCTAGTCCTTAATAAATTAAGAACACTGTGGTATCAGTATCGATCGTAATTATAAAGTTATTATTAAATTTAAAATTAAATTTTTGAAATTAAATATTGAATGCTGTGATGAATATAAACATAATAAAATACATCTTTTTAGTTTCGCCCCCACATTTTTAACTTCTTAAGGACCTCACAAACTCTACTTAAAATGACGCTATCGTATCAGATGTCGGTAGTGATGGTGATAAAAGTAAAATAAGTTTTTAAATAAAGGAATAAAACAAAGAAACTTTAGTAACCATATTTGGTGATAAATAAGTAACTGATCGCAATCGAAGAGCTTAGGGAAAAAATATGTTTGCAAAAGTCAGTTTCGGAATTTATACACAAGGATGCTATTTGAAAACCCTATTTATTTATGAAAAACATGTAACCTAAATATTTGCAGAATGAAATGACCTTTAACAATAAAATAAAAATGCAAGTAAAGTTTACTCTTATACTAATATATATAGCATAATAAATAAATACAAAAAACATGAAGAAAATTAAGAAAAAACAATAAGTTTTATTTATTGCACATAAGCTGCAAGTAAATAGAACTCATAAAATAAGTTCAAAATGTAGATAGAACAAGGAAAAAATTACAGAACAATGAAAAAAGGGGAAAAAAAGAAAAATAATTAAAAAAATAACAAAAACCGGGTGGGAAAAAAGAATGAAAAATATTTTTACAAAAATCCAGAAAATAAAAGATATAATCTTTTCATCAGCCCACACGATTATATCCACAAAAAAAGAGTGCTTTCTAATATTGCGGACATAATTGTGTGGACTGATACAAAGACTATATCTTTCATTTTCCGGATTTTTTTTTTTTTAAAAATTTGTCCTTTTTTCTCCCGGTTTTCTATTATTTTTATTTTCCCTCCTTTTTTCAGTGTTCTGTAATTTTTCCCTTGTTTATATATATAGTTCAATTTTATCTAAAAGAAATACCGTGAATTTCATAAAACCTTCTGATTGCGCATCAGAATCATGCCCCAAATTTTTTGCAGCATCTCTTTTTTCTTTTCATTACCTGAAAGACTTGAACTGAGGTGTAAAAGCAATTAGCCCTACAACTCTTCATAAATTTATAATAACTTCAGTAAATTTGGTTTTAGTACAGCATTTTTATAAAAATAACATCTTTAAAAAATAAAAAATGTCAGATAATAAGTTCAACGTTTAAATTTTGAAATATTGCAAAATCAGAAATAATTTCATTTCCATTTCTTCATTTTAAATTCAGATTTTATTTTCAAAGTATTAAAACGAATATTATTTTCTATGCTCAGAAAACAGATCCAAAAATTCTTTTCCTGGTTGCCTATAGCAACAGACACACTTTATTATGACGTCTCGTCATTCATTCAGTCTCTTTATGGTTGTTTTAAATTGTTTCACTTTATATGGTGAGGTAATTTGGCCTAGCACCTATCTAATATTAAATTAAACATAAATGAACATTAAAACAAACAACTAACCTTCAATACATTTTCTTGATTCTTTACTTCAATTTCTGGACAACTTTTCATAGCACGAGAAGACTCTTTTTTACTTTTTTCTACAGAATCAGGATTTGACTTCATTTCACAGTTAATATTTGTTGATATCTTCAGGCCAACGTTTTTATAATTATCAGTAGAGTCTAGTAAGGAAAAATTTTAAATTTTTAAAAGCCGATACATGGTGTTTTATTAAAATTAGATTAATAAAATAAATGGTAATACATTATAACTTGGAAAAGCTGGTCTGCCGTGGTGTTAAGGAATGGATTTTGCAAAAAACTAGATTTTAGGTACTTTATTAAACCTAATAAAGATGAAGTTACTTACCTTAAAGTATATACATATATATAGGTAATGTAAGAAATAAATAAGAATTGAAATTATTTATGTATTAAATCTCATTATCCAAAATAAGCAACCTCTAAAAATATAAAGAGCGTAATTATTTACTGTTTTTTTCAAAGAAATGATATAACATTAAATCTAATAAATAAGCATTAACAAATGTGTTAGACATTTGCTTTCAACATCAAAGCTTTTTCTTTTATAGCTGAACGTTCAAGGTGTAAAGTAATTAATATTTTTGAAGATTCCAGCCCTACTCTTTATAAAAGCGTGTTTTAATTTTATAAGTGCACTTTATTAAATATCTCTCATCCATAACTATAAAATATTTTTAATATGCTCTTAAAACATTACAGGTGAATCTGGCCGGATGTTAATGTTTATAAAATAATGTTTTGGAGAATTTATTAGATTAAAAAACTTTATTTTTGAAAATTTTCTTTGCCATATTAAATAATCACCAGTTTTGAATGGAGAAAATGAATTTAACATGTGTGTAAATTAGGACAGGTAGAAGTCAGTCTTTTTTTTAAATAAAAACCATAGAGCTGTGAAATTAAAGTATTAAAATCTTGCCATCTACTTCATTAACCAAGAGGTCACGGCTGTTTTCACGTATTCGTCATCGTTCTAGTGATTGCCTCCAAAATGATGTTTGAAATATTGGAAAAGATGAAAATCACACAGTGCAAGGTCTGGGCTGTAGGGAGGAATGATCCAATCAAAAGAGTCCAATAAAGCTGGGATCTGAGCTGTGGAGAGATTCATTGTCATAGAGTAGCGAAATTTCCTGTCAGCATCGCTAGGAATTTTGCTACTTCACATATCGTAACTTAACAAATCTGTCAGTGAATATATGCAGCAGACAGATTTTTTGCACATTAAATATGCACCACTGACCTTTTCTCTTGCGTGGCAGGCTATTTATTATATTTGAACATTTTAAAGACATAGAACTGACAGTACAATTTCCCTACACAGCTGAAACTGAGCACAGTGGTTCCCAAGGAATGCCGGGACATGTCACAAGTACTCGTTGCGATGCCCGCCTTACCTATTAGCAGGGTTGGAGTTTTTGCCGGCAAAAAGGGGTTTTTGCCAGGACAGTGGCAAAAACCTGGTAAAAACCGGCAAAAACTGGTAAAAACCGGCAAAAACCAAATTATCTAAATTGCTGATTAAATATTATTACAAAATACTTGAAACAAATTTAAATCAATCATAAAGAATAATAATTTTGATACATTACATGAAAAAATTATTTTTAACATATTAATAATTCATATAATGGTAATAATTTTTAAAAGATTAAAAGTTTGTGATCTCTTTTCATTTTAGAATCCTAAAATAAATGTTTTTTTACAAATAAATAAATATTATTATTTGCATAATATTATTATTTATTATAAAAAATTATTATTTGTACAATAATTAACTACACATATTGATAGATATTTTATGTTTTAAATTATAGTTATATTAATTTAAAATAAGTTCATTTCACTAGAAAAAAAAAGAATAATCACAAATTTTCCAATCAATAATGTTTTAAACTACGAAAATGATATATTATTACATTATCATTTAATTATGGAATAATAATTTTGTTAATTTTTTTGCAATTATTTATATTTATAGTATATATTTCAATTTTAGGAATAATTTTGTATCAAAAATGTGTTTTTGTCCTCTCATCTTGGAAAATATAGGTTTTTGCCACTTTTTGCCAATTTGCTTGGCAAAAACCTGTTTTTGCCAGGACGGTTTTTACCGGTATTTACCATGGTTTTTTCCACCTGTGGCAAAATCTTGCCAACCCTGCCTATTAGTGTACACAACAAAAAGGACCTTACTTTAAAAACAACCCTCGTACATACTAAAAGAAAAATAATAATAAATAAAAATTATTCCTTATCACATGCAAAACTCAGGCATGTTACAGGAAATATAATTTTCAAGCTCTGCTGTAAACTATTATTAAATAATATCTAAAGGAACATATTTTTATAACAATTCATACATCATTTGAATAATGTTTTCAAAATATACTTCAAAAATGAAAGAACATTATAAGATTTATGCATATCAGTGGTAAGAAAATCCTAGTCATGTATGTTATACTATACATCTAAAATTTGATATAATATAGGCAGGAAAATTGTCTTTGCTATTCAGTAAATAACAAATTAATATAAATCAGGGTTGGCAAGTTTTTGACACATGGCGGTTTTTACCGGTTTATACCATGGTTTTTACCGTCATGTCAAAAAACCCTCTGTCAAAAACCCATAGTTTTGGTAAAACTGTATTTTTATTTGAGTTAAACTGCTTATAATTTAAAATTAATTCATTTTTGGGCAATAAAATTAGAAAAAAAGTTGCTAAAAGATATTTAAGAACAGATTTTTCCATTTTCCCAACATGATTATATCAAAACATACCTGCGGATTTGAAGTAAAATATTAGGATACTAAACAAAATTTTCAACATTTCCAAGCATCATTTTGTTTGGCATATTACATTACTGAAGAATGTCAAGTCATTCCTGACTTAGAGTTTGTAGTAGTTACAAGTTTTGAAAGTTTTGTTTAGCTTATTTTTAATATTTAAGAAATGCCAAATCTTAAATTCTTCTTTTTAGTTCTTGAATTTATTAATAGTTCCAAGCTTTTTTGTTTGTTTATTTCTAACAATTAAGAAGTGCAAAATTTTGAATCCTTTGCAAATCAAGCTATAATGATAAAAGTAAGTATAACTATTTTCAATAAGTATATTACAATATTTCTATATGAATGTATATCCTTCTATAAGAATACATGTATATAGTTGCAAAATCAATAGCAATCATTTACAACATTCATTTATAAAGGCAATTATGTGAAAATAATATATTGTCCTCTATATGCCATAAATTAAAGAAAACAGTAGGTTTTTGACGGTTTTTACCAGTCATGTCAAAAACCAGTTTTTGACGGCAAAAACCCTACCCTGCTTTGCGGATATAACTCGTAGTTACGGTACATACTCAAATGTATAAAGTTTTTTATGTAAATCGGCAGCTTCGGACCTTGTCAATGGTTTTTCATCTTTGAGGAAAAATGAGGTAAACAATGTTTAATTTCTTCCTAATTTCCCTTTAAGGATTTCACAGTATCGGAAGGAGCAGACCACCTGGTGTCGCAAATAGGCTTGATGCTCAAGTGTTTCCTCTTACATAATTTTTGTAATGCATCCCACCTATGTGTAGAACTTGAAAAAAATACATACAATTCTTGTAGGATATTGAAAAAAGTGGTCATTTCCATGCAACTTTCGTCAGCTGCTTTTCCAATTAAATTTAATGAATGATTTGAGCATGGGATAAAATGGGCAGAAAAAAATATGTTGCTTTATTCTCAATTGTTGTATTCTTTATTCTCAATTGCCTGATATTTACCTGACATATTAAACACATTATCATATTAAACACATTAAATAGTATAGATTTAGTCTCCAACAGTTACTGATGTCTAAATCTATACTATTCAAAAATTCTAAAACAACCTTCTCCAAGTTTTCACCAATATGAGAAAATGTAGGTAAAAATCCTAAAAATCTTTCCTTTATACCACTTGGAAGAACATGACGAATAATGAGGGTCAGCTGATCTACGTGATATATATCAGGTGTTTAATCAATAATTAGAGAGTAAAATTTGGCTGCCTTTATTTCGTTCACTATTGCGAGTTGTAAATCTTTCGATATAACAGAAATAAATTCCTCACATTTTGTAGACGACAAATAGTTTATAGTGCCGGTGCCGCAGTTTGCATATATTTTTTTTAATGCGTTCCTGCATAAATGGATCGAACTCTGATAAATATTCCAAAGCACCTATATAATTACCATTATTTTCACTAAAAAACACTTCATTTTTACCACGAAACGCTTAAGAGCACGAAGAAACAGCAATAGGCGCGATCATATTTACACACATCAACACTCGCGGGCGTGGATGCATAAGCACGGGAACGCTCATCCACACTTGTCGACTTTATCAATCAACAATTCAGCATAATGTGGATACGTTTCAGCAATAATTATGAATATCAAGTTTTTCTGTTAAATAAAAATTAATTATAAAAATTAAAAAACCTAATTTTCGGGCCCTAGGCACGCGCCTAGGCCTTAGTCCGCCCCTGCTCATAGGTAGAAAGTTTCAAATTTAATGCTTCTATCCAATAATAAAATAGCTTATAACAATTTTTTTTTAAATTTTTCTCGAGATCATAGGTATACATCACATTAACAGATTGACTTGTCTGAAAATATAACTAAAAAAAGTTCATAGTCAATTTTCAATAATATAAAATAGAGATATTTCTAGATTGATACATGTTTGTGCCAACTACAATTATCAAAGGACTTCTGTACTTGCAAAGATGTAGCAATTTAACTGGGAGTATTTAAAACTTGTACTTTTTATGAACTTATTTTTGTTTGTTTTTTTAATAAATTTTCACCATATGTAGGTGACTTTTTTTAGTGTTGGTACTAATAAAGAAATTTTTTCTATAAGAAAAAATTTCCATGAATAAATATATAACCAATCAGAAATAATTCTGTATCTATACCTGCACCACAAAAAAAACAAAAATCTGGCAACTTGACAGTTCTATGTTAGAAACTGAAAAAAAAAAAATTACAGAAGGGGGGTTAGTTAGAAAATATAATATAAATTGTAACTCCACCAGGCAGACAATTAAAATTTTTTTTTTAAATTTCACAAGAAAAAAAAACCACCTCGGGTGATTTGGTGAATGCGGTTAACAGGAACAGGTATTCTTATGGAAATATCAACGGTTAGCTGCATTAACATGAAATACTTTGGTAGCAAAACTGACAACGGAAACTCAGATTTAACTGACAGTATGTTTTATGAACTTCCTCTTTTCTCTTATTTTATAACTACAATAACAAAAACTAAAATAAACGTAATTTTTATACATATATAAATATTTAACATTGAAATAAAGAAATTGCAGAGAAATAAAAGAAAAAAAAATATCAATGAACAGATATCTTGTCATCAGTACACATTGATTATATTTGTGAAAATAGTGCTTTCTGACACTGTATAAATGTAGCCAAAGCAAAACATATCAATATAATAGTGTGAGAAGCATCAAAAGAGGAGGGGGAGAGAGAGATACATAAGAAATCATAGATATTTCATTTTGTAAATATTTTTACTTTCCGGAGCATGAAATCCTTTTTTCACCTCATGGACTGAACATAGTAATTTATTACAAGTGTAAGCTATTTTAACTTATTAAACAGTAAATTTATTTCCCTAGAAAATTCATTTTACTTAGCATAAAGTTAAGAAGTTTATGTTAAGAAAAAGCAGAATTTCCTAAAAACGTACATACTTACAGAACTACAAATTTCAGTATGTAAACAAGGAATTAGGTTAGAAGGAAAAGAATATTTTTGATGAAACTAAAACTTATGAAAGCAAACCAGCAGGTACAGATAAATTTCTCAACGTGTAAGGGGAAATTTTCAATTTTTCATTTGTTCGAATTTCGCCACGGATTTTTGTAGAATTTTCGCCTAAGATTAAAAGGAAGTGAAGGACTGTTCTATATAGTGGCAACGATTAAAAGGTTGCCATTTTAATTCTCTCGGCTACATTATTTGCTGTTTCAGTCGCCAGTCAGTGCTTTTAGGCGGGTTGACACGATCAAAGTACTTTGATCAAAGTAGGCGCGCGCAATCAAAGTAAGTCATAAAAGTAAATAAAACAAAAATGGGCACCGCGAAAGTTTAGGGAAAAGGGAAAATGCGAAGGGGAAAAAAGGTCACGCACTGTTGTTGAGAGTATGATATATCAAATGAATAATCTCGGCCTCTGTGAATTTAAAATTTCTTTCCAATTTTAAAATTATTTAATGAAGCTTAAAAAATAAAATCATATTTTATTCGACATTTATACAAGCAGTTTAACCAACCCTGTAATTTTATTAATGAAAAGAGGAAAATTATTGCTTTTAAAATTAAATAAATATATGAAAAGT